TGGGAGCTGAATCATGCAATGTGTCAACCTTCCGATGTTCTTTGGGTGTTTACAGTTTATATCAACATATTACACCTAGTTTTATTTAGGGTTTTCTTTGAAATCTATGCTGTTACAGAGAGTGTAGTTTGAAGAGCTGGTGACATACTTTGAATATAATTGTGGAAAAGACGTTTTTATTAATAAATTCCACAGAAGAGGAATCAATGTTGAAAAAAATCTCAATGCTCCTTGGTAATGTTAGGAATCTTTTAAATTCACAAAAGAATGTGATTAATTTTTTTTGTGACACTTGCAGATGATTTCACAGAATCAGAGTCATCCCAGAAGATGCAGATTATTTTTCTTTATTTCTTTGAGGTGTACTGGTAAATTCAGGGTACTACTAGTTTGGAATTAATGGTCTCTATCAGTAGAGGCCAACTAGCATTTTGATACTGCAGAAGACCTGACAAGGTGAGCAACCAGTTCTCTACATAGAAAGCCTTAAAATACCATAAACACTCTCTAGCTAAGAGGGTCCACTGGCAGCATTGTACTTCACTCAAGACCTGAATTAGCTGCTTGGGCAAAAAAAGGATGAACAGAACCCTTTCTTTGGCTACCAGAAAGCAGTCAGATCTCAGAATCCTTATTCCATGTCAATCTTTTCTCTCACATCATGTGTATTGCACTCAATTACAGTAAAAGTTGCCAAAGGCTGATTCATCAGGACAGGCAACACAGAAATACAAATGCTTAATTCAATCTGTGGTCACTTTGTGCCAGCCTGAAGTCACTCCCATCTGTATGAGCCAAGCAGTCAGCACACCTGGGAAGCTCCTAGAGAAATTAATGTACTATTTAAGTCAGGATGATGATTCAATAACTGACATGCTTCTGAGATCTGGAACTCAACCAACATCTCGGCATGACACTGTCCTTTCGGTGCAACCACCCTTCTCCTTCCTCACGTGGTGCCCATCGTATTTATGAACACAGTCAAAGAATGAGCACAAGAATCATCACATGCAAAATCTGTAGAGCTCCTTTTATAAAGCTGTCTGTCTGCATTTCTTAGTATCTGTTTAACTCCTATTCTTTTTGAGGACAAACTGTTATATTCCAGGTCTGATCCCTTGCAAAGAAATAGAAAACCCCTCAACTCCTGTTACACAAGATTTGATGGTATAATAAACACAGCTGGGGGCAGATCAAAGCAATGCAGCCATTTTTCAGCAAGAAAGATGACAACTTTTCTCAAATGAAATTAGGGCTTCTACTTAGTCTTGTGATGCTTGGAACATCTGTGTTCAATACTCTCTCAGTGGGACAGATGGCAATAAGGTGCCCAACTCCCAATGCCTTTCAAGGAGATTTAGGCACCTGCCTCAGAATTGTTCAAGATGCTTTCTCTGTGTTACTCTCTCACAAACTGCAAACAAACCAGGAGGTTCCCTTTGCCACTTTGCTGCCAGCCAGCAGTTTGCTCTCACATGAATTGCTTGACCTTTGTATTCCTCTTTGTAGCCACCCAACTTGTGAACTAAAAATCCCACCCTATTATTAATATATTGAATACTTTTTAAGATGCTTTGAGCTTGCACTAGAGGTGCACCCTAAGTACATCCATATCTAAATTACCAACATTCAAAAATAACAGGAAAAATACTTGTTGGTGGATTAGCTACATATGATCAATGCCAAATAAAAATCTACTCTGGTTTTGCTAAGGTCATTTAATGCTGTGCAAGTCTCATGAGGTAAGTATTTTTGAAAGTGGGGAATGCTTTGAGATTAAGCAATACATTACAGTTTTTGATCAAATGCCAGAAGCCATAGGTGAATAGGAAACAGACATCAGTAATTACAGTTCGTACTTCAGCTATTTCAAAACCCCTTGCTTCAATGAGCAAGTATTAACTGGACAGACACTCCTTCACAAATTAGAGGCTGCAAAGACTTATTACACACCATATTTATCTTTGAAACTTGTCCAACAGAATTAAACTAAAAAAATAATAATGATACAGATTATGGTTGCAGGCAAAAAAACTATTAAAACTCTAACAACTATATATATGTTTTTATCTGTCAAACCGTCCCTGCAGCCACTCTTTGGTTTAGGAGCTCAGGAATGTGGTATTAAGAAACACTAGTAATTGTATTAGTATGCTGCTGTCAAACTTCAAACTGGCTTTATTTTATCACAGGGGTTGATAGAACAATCTCTTGATTGTGTAGGCCTTAAAATGCAATAGAATTGCATGAACATGAGTCTGAACTATCATTGCATGGGAGTAGAAATGCAAAGGGATGACAGCCACACTAGTGAGAAGGGCACGAGGAGCACAGACACTGCTCAGTCAAACTGTGTACAGAGCCATCAACCAACTCGACATCAACATTTATTGTAAGCCCAGTTTAACCACCTCACCATGTTCCAGCACCTGGGTAAGGAGTTAAGGAGCCTTACTGACAAAGCCTGGCACCCCACCGAGCCAGCTCTGAGCAGGGCAGGATGCTCCAGACACGACCCTGTTCACAGAACAGTGGGTAATTGTGAGGACATTCCCCTTCTTAGCTGTTTTTTCTGTTTACTCCTGAGAATTAACTTGGGAAGCTGTAAGAATTTTCCTCAAAAGGCTACTCAGGATATCTGAGATAGTACCATGACTACTGTTGGATGAAATATGATACTGCAGTGGAGAAAAAACTGGGGCAAAACAGTTTAGGCATCTCTGCTTTTCAAGACTTATGAGGGGGAGGAAGGCACTTAGGCAGCCTTGCCTTTTAACTGTTGCCCAACTCAAGATAGCATCAAATGAGCTCTCAATAAATATTTGGCTTCACAACACATTTGTACTGAAATTTATAATTTAAGTCCATTCCTCTAGATCAGTAATTTCAGTCACAAGGAGCTAGTGCAAACTTTTCATGTGTTAAAAGAATTATTATTACATCTCAAATTTAGTTTGGTGTAAGAGATTATATATTTAAGCTGATTAAAAAGATCTCAGTTAACTAAAACAAGCATTTGGATTGGTGTAACACTGTTAAAAACAGTGAAAGTTAAGTCTCAGAAAGCACTTTTGCTTGTCTGGACAAAATTTACATCACCAAGCAAAACTATAAAAATAAGGTCTCAGGAATACAAGACATTTAGAAACAGATCAGCAATTCAGGAGGAAGTTTATTAAAGGCACAGTTATATATTCATGTATGTATTTATACTCTCTATAAAGCTGGATTAGGCTTTTGTATTTCCCCTGTTAATCAGAGATTTTGGGACCTGATATGATTCTAAGAATTAACTAATATTCTAAGCAAATACTTTAAGTAGATAAAAATGCTTGAAATGTGATAATTTTGAAATTCATCACACAAGTAACCCAATGCAAATATTCTGCAGACTTCCTAAACAGTTACATTATTAATGGCCTCACATAAAACTGACTGGTTGGGTGAAAAATATTACAGGTGGCTGAGAAATAGCTGCTTTTTTTTTTTTTTTTTTTTAGGGTTTGGATTTCTCTTGAAGCATAATTTCATACCAAAGAGCACTGATCCTTACAATTAGATCAATATCTTGACTAGACTAATAAATACTGTTACTATTAGGAGCAACTACTACGAAAGAGTAGAGCATGTTTAATATATGATACTTTTAAATGTTGCATGGAATACTGCTGATGTGTTTAGCACTGAATTATCAGCATCATTCTGCTTTTCAGTGTGTAACAAGCAGAAAGGTCAACTGTATCCAACACCCACCTGCCAACTGCTTAAAACAGTAACAGAGATTATGGAGAGAGTGCCTGTAACTTTTGGACAGGAACATTTGGAGCTGAGGAAAATCTTGATGAAGGTTTATGGTATAATCTGTGTTTACACAAGTAAACACTCAATTTACCTTTATAATCACTTTACTAGGAGATATCACTCGCTTCCTTCCACATACAAGTTTCTAAGGCAATGTAGTTTGTAAACCATAGTGTGAGATTTATGATGTTCTGCTGCAGAAACCTGTTTAGCCCATGATTTACAATCCTGGCAATTGTATTCAACCCTGTCATCATAACTAATTACAGCTAACTGCAGATTACCATATTGCAACTCTCATCTGTGTGAAAGAAATATGATGTTCTGCTCAAAAAAAGAATCAAATATCCTGAGGGCTAATGAACAAAAATGCACTATTCCATCTTGGACTGCAAACCTTAAACTCTTGGAATTGGTGCTGTAAAACTTCAAATTGCTATTTGCTGGCAACTTGTTTTAGCCTCAAGTACTTACACAGTAAATCACCATTAAGCTAATACCATACCTTTGGCCTGAAACATATTAATCTTGGTTAACAATAACTGACATTTACATTACCAATTCAATTCAGGCATTGTGGTGACTAAACATACACATGCAAGAGAAAAGTTATTAGTTCTGAATGTGTACTTACTTTTCACTGAGAACAATTTTGAAGAAACATTATCATCAATTCTTGTTATAATCTTATAACATAAAAATTCAAATCCTAATTGATCTGTAAAACATTTGACTTGGAGTAAAAATCTGCATTTGTATCTTGGGCGCAGTTAACTGTACAACACAACATATTTCAGATATTTTTCCAAGAGAGGTATTTCTACATTTTATCTGCTCAAAGAAACTGGGACTTTTATAACCTGTGTTCCTGGGAAGGAAAGAAGAATGGGAATTTGAAATATTCTGAAAAATGTGGCACCAGGACATGATGAATAGTACCAGATCCTTCCAGGAGAGGGGGAATGGACTTTTTCAGCCTAACCTTTTGTGTTTACATTTACTAAGGCCAAATAATAATAATAATAATATTGGTTTTGAACACACATGGTGGTTTTGCTTTTCTTTATTTAGTGTTCCCCCAAACTTTCAAGCAATCAGAAAAGTAGCACTTTCTGCATTAAGTCTGTGTAACCCCAGCAGGAAAACTAATCCCTCCCCTTATACCCACGTGTTGTAGCTACAGAACAGCACAAACCACATTTGGACCAAGAATTTTATTCCTATTTCAGAGAGTTCTCTGCCAGATTCCAAATGCATTATGCAATGCATTAGCTTAGGTTTTTATATTAAAGAAAAAAATGCTGCATTTCACACAGTATTGATGCTTAGACAGCATTTTTACTACATTTTAAAAGAGAGCCAAAACAAGACAGTAGAGTCTAACAGCATTAAGATAAATACAAGGCATTTGATGTGTTGGGTTTTGTTTTGGGGTGGGTTGTGCTTAAATTTAACAAGTTGCCCATGAAGATTCTTCAAGTAACAACAGGTATTCATCTCCTGAGGAAAACAGGATGGGTTACATGTATCCCATGTTGCTTTTTGTTTCCCATCTTTTCTTGGCTTCAAATCTGAGACAGAGCACAAAAACCACATTAGGAATCATGAGCATGTGTGTTTAGTATTTAACCATACTATTCCTAACAACAACAAAAATTAAAACTTATTTTTAATACTGTAACAAAGGCGTGCAGACAAACGTAGCCTTATAACTAACACATTACTTCTGATAAAGCCTCTGTACTTCAGTCTGCTAAAAAACCCACCAAAACCCACCAAGGTTAAACTAAACAAATAAGATTAGCACAAGCCTATTTCAACTAAGAAAACATTTAACTGAGATTGTATTGTATATACTTACTGCCAATGAAACCACAAATGTTTAATTCCATACTCAAATGACTTACCCCCAAGCAAGCTTCTTTTTCTTTTGAGCTTCTTGGGCAGCCTCTGCTTCTTGCTTGGCTTTTACAAAGTTGCGGCAAGCAGCAGCTTTGGCAATTTTCACACCAAGCTAAGACATGAAAAGGAACAAAGGGAAACTGATTAGATGCAAATGGCTCATATGAAATTTAAGCCTCACAAATTACTTGGTCTGATATTGTTTCTCGAAAGTCAATAGATAGTAAAATATCTTTCAAATATTAGGCTGATGATGGACTATTACACTGGATGGACAAGAATGTCTGGAGAGAGAAATATAAAGGTGAAAGGATCCTGGGGCAAGTGATCCTTTTCACTAAATCCTTCATTTTCAAAAAGAAAAGCAAAGGGCAACAGCTCTCTAGATCCTTTTGTTTGTTTGTTTTTAACTAGACAGGCACACACAAACACACAGACTCCATTATTAAGACCAGTTTGTGACCTCAGCTGTGCTAACACAATAGTATTAGGTCTTGCCAGTACCAAAAACAGTCTCCAGCAGAACCACTAGCCATGTTTTAAACAGTCTAAAAGTGTCCTTAGTGTCTATGTGCCATTCAGTCTTCACATTACTACCTTTTAGATTGTAGGTGTGATAATATGCATGATAAGGTTGCAATAGGCTGTAGGTGATTACCACTTTACTTCCATAAACTTATCCCAACTGTGAGAATTAAGTTCATTTTACTGAATGTCAAGTGGGTGGAAAAAAAGAATAAAGCAAAAAAAAGATGGGTGAAGGAACTGTGAACTATGACCAGCTTATTTTCTTTAATCAGCATTCATAACTTGTCCATTGTGGTCACATTTGGTGGTTGCTGTCATGACTTGACATTATGAATTATGGAGGAGTTTGTTCCCAGAAGTTACTGCTATTCTCCAAGACAAACATGCAATTCATTTAGCCAGAATTGCTACAAACTGATGTGGAGAAGCAGGTTTTCTTTCAATCCACTCTAAAACCTACTGAAATTAGCAAATGTTTCTGACTGGATATTCTAAATGTCCCCAAAATGTCAGGGGAGACCCAAGTGAGAGATCACTCCATAACACTTTGGTTAGAGTTCTGTTATTAAGGGTAATACACTTCAATAATCTGCAGCATCTCTACAATTACTCAGTCTGAGAAATGCTTTACCCAGATAAAGTGAGAGAGAACTCAAGAACACATCTTCAGGTGTAGATGCACTGACACATTTCCTACAAACATCCCATTAAACACCTAACAGGCAGGTTGATATCCTGATCATTTTGTGAACAAAGAAAAGAAAACCAACAGCATCACTACAAGCTACTCTGCATTATGGTCCTCCCAGGGTTCAGGACCAAGAAAGCAGCCTTTGTGCAGCAAGCTTTAGGAGACTACAGCGGTCACAGTAATCACAACATCAGTTTGTGCTTTGTTTGAGGCTCTAAACACTGGCAACACAAGCAGTTAAGGAGTAAGTATAGTATTTTAAAAGGAAAATAGATATTTTCATAGGCATTATATTTAACGGGGAAGAAAGAATGCTGAACAAGCTTTTCCTCTCCTATTTGTACGTGTAAGAAGGTCATAAGTATATACCTATGGAACCATCCTGATGCACAAAAGAATGTGACCAGGTATTTCAAAACTTTTATATTATCTACGTAATTTCCCCCCTGAGCATTAACCTTTTATATAATCAGTAATTCAATGCTAACATCTGAACTGCCAAATCTCAGGTCAAAGACTAAAACGTAACATTCTCTTATTTCCATTGTCACTTAATCTTTAAGGGCAGCTATTAACTTTTACATACTTGCAGTATAAAAATGCTTAAGAAAACTCACTTAAAATATTAAAAAAAAGTCCACTTTTAAATTGAAACAGGACTAATTATTAGCTTAACAACAGAGCAATCTGATGGCTGAAGTCAATCAGCAGAACTCTGCCTTTATTAACTGGATTTTACCTCCTAATACACTTGAAAATTAACTTTTACTACGTGATGAATAACAGCATCTCCTCAAAATATATTCTAGTGGCCAATTGAGCACTTACACACATCCAAATATACACAAGTGAGGTCTAAACAAGTGCTGCTGAAAAACCTTTTTTATCTGTATTTCTTGGAAGACAGAATGAGTACTTCCATCTTTGAAAAGTACAGAAAAAATGGGATAATAAGATCCTCTGCAGTGCATATGGAAGCAAATGCAGAAACATTTTGCAGCATTGTTATCATTTCTACGCTACATAGAGTCAAATTCTCAAGACCTGAAAACAAATGTTGCATATAAACACACACAAACATTTTAGTGAGATTAAATGTCTTCTGCTCCCACCCACACCCAGCCATACAGCTCCTCTCCCTGCCCCCCTCAGAAGAAATCCATAAAAGCTTGGTCAATGGATTTTACAATTTAAAAAAAACCACTAACATTTCAGGTCATCAGATAACTCAATAAAATACAATCTTAAAAGAAGGAAAAAAAGCATGAATAAAAATATATACAACAATTTCTTGTGTAGTCAAAGTATCAGCATTTTCCATATAGAACATCCAATATTTTGCTGCATTTTAATTAAGGTGTCTAAACATTATCACAAAGAACTGCAAATTGGTCAGAGCACGCAGTAAGGAAAATTAAGCTCTAAAGGCTTTTTATCACCATATTTCAGGAACCAAGGGTGTAAAATGTTCTAATTTGGGATATATTAAAAGCCATAAAAGGTCTTTCAAAAAGATTAATGGTACTTTGCTTGGATTTAAGATAAGGGCTTTAGCTGGTTGGAAAAGCAGGGCCCTGGCTAGACCCTTGAGGCATTCATCTTTACAGCCACTTGGAAGATTTGTAAAAGCGTCTGCATAACCTCAAGCAAACGCACTGCGACATTTTTTTTTTTTTCAAATTCCTTTCAATTTTACAGGTTTAAAGTGTGTAAATCATACTGGGTAGTAAAGCTGATATAATGGTTCATCCTTGTAACACTATACATATATGTATTTTAAGACAAAGTTAAAAAACAACTTAGTTTCTACAGGGCAAAGACCCTTCCATTTTGAAGTTGACCAATAATCATGTGAAATATCTTCCTCTAGATGTTTAATGCAGCATAAATGGAAATTTTCTACTCATCTGAAATTGTTACCTTGTGACAAATATCTGAAGCTTTGCTTCTTTTTGAACACTTTCAAGGCATTTATTTAAAAATACCAATTATCATACTTTAACTTTTTTTTTAATGGAATAACAGGTCCCTATGAAAAATATTTATGCCATTCCCTTTTGTTCTTTAATTAAATGAAAACAAATGTTTTCTGAAGTAAAGCGTAACCATTACTGGAGTACTTAAAGTGTTAAGGTCTTTAATTTTTATATCAGTTTGGTCTACAATTCCTGATTGTCTTTACTCAAGCTCAACATTAATGTCAAGCAAGTTACCTAGGAGACGAAAGAGATCAAAGAGACAAAAAACCCTCAAATGTCTGATTAATCAAGCCTGCAAACAGCTTATTTCTTTTAGCCTGCATGCAAGTATGAAAATGAGATTCTGGGAGCCGTACATTGTGCAGATTTGTTCATTCTTATCAGAACAAAGCCAGCGGCAGCTTATTTCATGGATCATTGGCACTGTCATCAGTGCTACACAGAACGGGTGACAGCTCCTCATTTTGAGGCTTGAACAAAATTAGCAAAAAGTCGGCACAAATTAGCCTCTCATCTTTTTAGTAATATGACATTATTCATTTACTTTTTATCCAATTTTTAATTTTTTCCTTGTCAGCTATCCCTTTCTAGTGTTTCTTGCACAGCATCATGAAACACTTTTAAAACAAGCAAAGAAACGGCTGAAGTTGAAATAGAATTGCAAAGTTCAGGCAGAAGAGTAAACATTTTTTGTTAAGTTGCAACAGAAATCTACTGTAACTTCCAGAAAACTTCCTTGCAAATCGACGCATTTAACATTAAATACCAGAAAGCAAAGACTTTCCATGAAGATAGGGCTGTGCAATGCAAATGCTGAGTGATGCAAGTACTGAGACAACAGATTCAAGAACTGCTCCAGAAATACTTAGGTATGAAATACAAACTGCTAAACCCACAAAAACTCCAACAAAACATCTATATTCAAACAGGTCTTGAAATATCCTATGATCATAGCAGAGAAGCCAAACATCCTTTTAATACAGTGCTAGAGTTTCTCATCAAATATGAATCTAGTTATTTCAGGCTTGCCTCCAGCAATGATTTTCTCCTTTTATGTTATGGAATGTTATCCATTGCTGACGTATATAAAATATATAAAGCAAACAAGAATACCGAGTGGATTTTGCAGTGAAAATTGTCCCCTTTCAATGATGTGCTCAACTTCCCCTGTAAAATACTTTGTAATACCTTTGTTGTATTTTTATGCTGTGTATTACAACATCAAATTGTATTTGGCTGACACAGTAATGGAGCAAGGACAGAAAACTGTACTAATATTAAGCTCTTTGCTAGACTTCAACATTTAAATGCAAGTAACTTCTTCCATTCATGAGAAAACACAGCATTAAAAAATTAACCATAAGCTGTTAGATGCTTTACAGAGCCCCCTTATAACAAAGGCAGTTTTAAAAAAAGAACTGTAGTACTGTTTTCAGCAATTTCTTTATCTCTGTTCTTCTAAGTAAGAAAGCTTATTAACAAGCTTTGAACTTAAAATCACATTTACAATAATGTGCCATCAACAGTTTTATAAGCTAATTAGAAAAAAAGATTAATTAATGACTGGCTGCTAATAAAATGGCAATCATGAAGAAAGAAACCAAGGGTGCTAAGCTTCAACTACCACCAATTAAGAGCTAATTACAAACAAATTATATATGTGTTTTGCTGTGGGCTTTAATTTACTAAAATGGTTTTAATTAAAAGAGAAAACATGCTGATTAATTGAACTGCAGAAAAAATCTACAGTATAAACTGTGCTTTGTCTGTCTCTTTAATTAGACTTGTAACATCTGAAATCTTTTTTTAAGGTTTGTTAAGGAAAAGATATACATAATTAAGGGAGCATAAGAATGTAATTCTAGGTGATAACCCTGCCATGTTCCGAAGGTTACAAGAAAACAACCCCAATGA